CATCTTACGTCTGTTGGCTTGTACTGAGTGGAAAGTTTGAAAATCCAGGCTGGTGATTTGACATTAATCCGAATATCGTAGGTTCATTTTCATAAAGGTTTGCAATATTTCGACGGCAGTAAAAACGTCTTTGTACCGGTACCATATTAGGACAACCTGTGGCCGGTAGGAATGACCTTCCAGTTCATATGAGCCATTCGCTGCATGGATGTCCTCTGTGCTCCGAGTTCATTCGCATTACGACATTGAATTTATGTTATTTATGAAGCTTTCTTTCTTTACAGGAGGAATTTTACTGCCTTTGAACATACATAGTCTCCTTTTAACTTTCTTAGTAACGTTATCACAGTGCGTGTTCGAACTTACTGCGTTTGAACATACCTAGTCTCCTTTTAACTTTCTCAGTAACGTTATCACAGTGCGTGTTCGAAGTTGTTTATTGAAATACTTCGGAAGGCGCTGGCATACCATTCTAATATTTGATTGTTTTTCTCGCCTGTTTCCGCTTAACGACGATCAACGGCAACATTTTACAGCATCAGTTCCAACAACTGACCACCACAATGCACACCTTCCTTTCTTTAAAATCCACTGCGAACACGATGTATGTACATTGAAGATGTTGCATGTTAAGCAGGGTAGTCGTTTAGAATTTTACGATCTCCCTGTTGAAGTAAGTAGCAAACATCTCTGAGACGTCTGTAAACTTCTACCGGACTACACGGAGCAGCATACTAGAAGACAGCTATTTTAATACTTCCCGCCTTGAGAACCTGAAATCGTAAATGAACTTTATTCGGGGCAGTGTTGTTATGGAAAAATATTTATATGTAAATTTCTTGAAACGCTCAGGTCTGCGTGAGTTATTATTCTGTTCAAAAACAGTTTCTGTCACGTATGTTCATGGAAAGGCAAAATATATATATATATTCATGAATACGTTACTTTTATCTCGAGTTAAAGTCATACAGCAGGAGAATTTGCTTGTAGAAAGTCGAGATCTCATAACAAACGGGATTTTTGTATTGTTTATCAACTTGTTAGTTTGTTTTACGTATGCGTACAGTTTTCGGGATATACATAATGATTTAAAAGTCACGCAACATATTCTGTTCGTCAAAAAATGTACGCTAAAATTAGAAACAAAAACAATGCTGTATGAAGTATTGGAAATATCTATCGCGTTCAGCATTGCATGCATTCACCCTTTTCCTCGTGCTAGAACGTTTTTCTGTCCTGCGTGCTTCCTGTGTCACGGAAATGGATCGCCAGACGAGATAATGTTGATTTGTTTAGTACGGGATTCGGGGAATGTATCCCTACACCCATTCTTCTATAATCACAGCGATGTTGTGTGTTTACTAATCCAATCGAATTGTGTTGAATTGCAACCACCAAAAAATATTTTTTATTGGTTGCTTGACTTCTCCATCACTGTGTTTGCACCAGACATGCCCACATTTCATTACTAATTGTGTAATCGGACCCGTATTTTTTTTTTATTTGCCGACGACGAACTGGTTTTAATCGCAGTATTCTTGGAAGCCACTCCTCACCGAAGGACGCCCAGGAATAGCCTTGCTTCGTTGTCCTGTTTGTACATAAAAATCAGATGACGACTGACTTGCTTTCTCAGTGAATGGTTCGATTTTTTCCGTCGAATGAGATATCGTAAACGTACGAAAGCAGACATTGTTTTGGAGGAAATAAAAATCATAACGGAGAATTCTTTTCACATCGGGGAAAGTTAATCGCTTGATTTAGACATGCAGGATTATTTTTTATATTAACCGATACTGTCACCGCTTACAGCATAGTATAAAAACTTTTGTAATCGTTTCGGTGGAAATCGATATCTGTTTTGGCAACCATTTATCTCCATTGGAGTAACTTTTATATTTAAATCAATTATTGAAGTTTTCGAACAGTCGAATAATTAATCTGTAACGTCTTTGATTCCTTCTCGGCGTCTCTAAAGCCGCACACACATCTGTGCTGTACATGTTTTATCTGCTTAAATTTATATCTTATTCTATAAAATATCTTGTTTTTCACCATATACTTACGATACTGTTTATGTTTGATTTATTACGTGTGTTACGCATGACTAATCATGTTCTCAGTAATGACGCAAGATGGCAGAATGTTCTGTTATGAAAATGCTTTTGTTGTTGCAGTTAGGAAGCTTTTAGAATCACTTCTAATATGGGCGACGAAAACGTTGAAATGATGTTACTGACATCGTGCTTTGCTCGTATTTGAAAGAGATGGGAAAGGAACACTGCAGAAAAGAGGCTGGAAGCGGCAGGTGCGGGGAAAAGGGTTAGGGGGTCGGAGATACGGTCTCCGACATCACAAATCGTAGGTGTGAAAATAGAAAACTCTCTTCTGAGGACGTGGTCAGCAGCCGACTAGACCTCTGGAAGTTCGTTTAGAGTCGAGGTAGATGAATAGACCATCCATGCGTTCATAGCACCATCAGGACAGATGACCAGTTGAAGCATTCAGGCATTTTCCTCATTTTCGTGTTGCTCGGCTTTTAGGTAGCTCAGTCCACTCAAGTAGTTGTACACTTGCTCGGATTTTAGCTAGCTCAGTCCACTCAAGTAGTTGTACAAGGATATTTGGGACAGCCAGCAGTCAGCATTACTCGCTGTCATCCAAATTAATAACGGGCAAACATTCAGTACTGATGTGATTAATAGCAGAGAGATATCTAATATTTTACTGTCCATTTATGTATTGTGTGCATTTAAGATCTGTTGTTGGTAATAGACAGTGACCACGTTGGTTAGATTTATGTTCGTGTTAATTTGCATAATAAATTCTTATTTACTAGAACCTTACCAAAATATTCCAGAGTAATAAACAACGTTGTTTCTAATTAGAATAGTATAACGTTATTTAGATTAATGACTGTAACATGGCTTAAATAAAACATTGCTAATGTAACTGGAATCGAATAGAAGTTTTATTTTAAGCTGTGGTCATGAATTCACGTTTCTGAATTTTCACTTCCTGATTTGTGCTGCTGTCAGTCTTAAAATCGCCAGTATCTAGGCTGATGCTTCAGTATTAAATCTCTTGCCCGCGCTGTAGCACCGGGGGATCAGTTTCTCAGCGGGCTGTAGATTAGAAACTATTTCTATTCTTAATCATCTTTCCTGGTGATGGAGGTAGTAAACACCTTCGAAACGTCGGTCGATATCTACCAGACTGCAAGGTGTAGCATTACAGACGACAGCCTACTTTGTGTTTAGTGGAGGTTTGCTTTGTGCGCTGTTAAATTTCTAGGAATACGTTGTCTGAATAATTCTCGCGTTGCAGAGACGAGCTTTAACATGAGTGTAGCGCGTAATCCCAGGTATTTTGCGATCCCTAACCAAAATGGGGCTTCTGTTGTAGGTGATACCGCATTGTGCAATTTCTGTTGAATAGTAGTCAGGATTTATGGCATAATTTTGCATAACAATAGATGAGCTAATGAAGTGTAATGGTTTTACTACGTGTTGACATAATCTCTCTGAGGATATTTTTTTTTAAAAAAACTACTATTATATTCACAAACACTTAACTAAAGGGGGCTATATTCGTGTGACAGTTTAAAAATTCTGATTTTAGTTATATATGTACAGCCTTTTTTCATTAAGTGTGCTCTCCTTTTCAAAAGTTCTCAACGAAAAGTTGCAGAAATGCGCCTTATTAGTTTCGTCATGTATGTCTGTCCGCATGTGACACGTCGAAAATGGCGAAATGGATTTTTATTAAACTTGACGTTGGGGAGGTTTACCGATGTATATCGACATATTCCAATTTCGATTAAGACCGGACAACGCTGTGCAGCAGCGATTAAGCGATTGGCTGGCAGAATGGGACACGCTTTCGCTGCAGTCTTTTGTCTGTGAGGAATCACCTTAAAACTCTTTTTACGTAAGTGATGCAATGTGGTCGGATTAACCAGTGGCAGGTTTTCCACAGAGGCTAATACTAATTCTCTACATGTTTTTATTGTTATAACTGCACTAATTGTAATCGTCTTCATTTTTAAACACTGTTTATTGTGAAACATAACGTTATCTTAATCCTACAACACGGCAAAACAAAACTGTCGATACAAACTGCGTGGTGCAATCGCCAGACGCGGTCCTCTTAGCTTAGCGAATCTTGTATCGGCCTGGGTTGAGGGATACGTTTATTTAAGTGTTGCATGGGGATTAAACTAAATTCAAATTAATTATTCTAATTGTTTAACGGAGTGAAAGATGTTACCGAACAAATATTGTGGACGAAAATAGAACAAGCTTTGAGATTCTTGCGGCAATGAAGATGACCAACTTGGTCTTCTGGGTTATATCGCTGTGTAGTCTGGTCGATGTTAACCAACGTTTCAGAGGTCATTCTGCCTCCGTCATCAGAGTATGAAGATTTCCGTCTTCTGGGTTGTTGCGCTGTGTAGTCTGGTCGATGTTAACCCTCCGTCATCAGGACGATGAACCTCTGAAACGTTGGTTAACATCGACCAGACTACACAGCGCAACAACCAAGAAGACGGAAATCTTCAAAACGTTTACACTTCGAAAAACACTACAGAGGTTATCATCAGTGGCGGAAACATAAATTCATTAGTCTGTTTATTAAATCATACAATTCATAAGACGATGGTTTATTATAAAGCGCTGAGCATAAAAAGGTCACATTTCATTAAACCGTACTTCATGCAATACCACACTGAACGTTACATTTAACATGAGTTTGTGTGTTATCGAAATTGAATTATTTAGCTTTGACCAACAACGGAAACCTCAACTTAGGCCAGTGGACATAAGCTAAGATGCAGAATGCATTTTACGATGCATATTTGTCTTGTGCTTTGTCACGCCTTCTTCCATACGTAGCAGTTTAACGTCAGTTTCTGTGCTTGTAAATGCACTTGCAGTCTGTTGATTATTCTCGTGGACTTTGCACAGATCATCTACTAACCCGCGTTTCTCCTGTTTCAGCTGGGGCCGCTCCCGTGGACGCCAGACAACGTTCCGGCTCATTGCACAGCAATCCCCGCTCCTCGACATCTAATAAAGGTTGGTTCTTCTACTGTGAATATCCGGTCTGTCGGTCGCGTAGCGAAATAATGAAATCGTTCATCATACCGCTCACGAAACTATCTTGAAGAAGTTGGTTTCGTAAAACTTTCTTTTTGAACGTGGCCAGTTTAGCCATAATCGGCCTAATTGCATGCATCGTAGTAGCTCACAGGTTACCCATTTACCTCTCCTGTTTGGCTGAGAGTTGACATAATACTTTGTGAACGGTCCTGTGTTCCAACGTACCCCTGGACGCTGAGGTGTCTGCGCCCTCCCCCTAAACGTTTCTTTGACGTAAATTAAGAGCCATACATTCATTATGCCGAGGTCACAGCCATGTTTTTGGGGAAAAAAGGAGATAATGTTTGAACCACGAATAAAACAGGATGCTGTGTCATGTCATTTGAGACCGGTAAAGTTAAGAACACTTTTTATCGTACGAGTATGTATCAATTGATAAACGCTCAAAGAAGTATATGGTTTAGCATTAATTTTGTTTATAATAGTACTCGTGCGTAAAAACCTTTATGACAAGACTTAAGACACATTATTTGAGCGTGATCTGCGAGAGTTCCCGGCAGATGGTAGCACTGCACTGCGTCCGTCTTTATGAATTGGCCAGTCGCCATTAACCCTCAAGGAGAAGGTA